GCCGTGAAATGCTAAAGTCTAGAGACACAGTGGAAATGTCTTGGGGAGTCTTTGTTCATAAAAGGATACAAAACAGAGCTGGAAAGGCTACTGTGGATTGGATGAGTGTATTTAGGGTGTGGTTGGATAGGTCAAGCTCAGATCACTTTAGGTATGTTTTATTTTGTTTTCTTTTGAATTGCCAGAAAGGGTGCATGTTCCCCAGAGAAAGAGAAAAAGAAAGAGGAAGAGAGAGGGAAGGAGAAAGTCCCTCCCAGTGGGGTGCAGTCACGCTGCAATCCCTTCTCCATTTCTCTATCCTGTCATATGCACACTCATCTGCATCCGTGATTTTCAAGCTGTTGGGGCCGGGATTTGAACTGTGGTCAGTCATGTGAGATCTGGCACCCTTGACCACCACGCTATAGGGCTAGCCCTATGGTCTGTTTCTAGAGCAAAATGTGTGTCTTCATTTAGGAAGTAACAGATACATCCTTAATTTTAACCTACTTTGATGCAAAGAATGCTCCAATCAGAGTAGTCTTTTTTTTTTTTTTTGGAGAGGTTTTTGCTATAGGGTGCGTGTGCTCGCCAGACAGAGAGAGACAGAGAGACAGAAAGCGAGAAATCACCCCCCAGGGGGGATGGTCACGCTGCAATCCCTTCTCCTCCATTCTCCTCTCAGGATCTTGGGCACGCACGCACACGCGCCCGGCGTGAGTTTAAGCCACCGGGTCCGGGACTCGAACCGCGGTCGACTATGTGGGAGTCCAGCGACATAGCCATTATGATAACTACTGGTCCACCAATCAGAGTAGCCTTAAAAGCTGCCAAGCACATAGCTAGAAACAAAGGCCCTTACCATGAACCCCACAGCTAGAGGCCATTTTAGCGGGATGTGCTGTGAACTAGGAGGCAGGAGAACTGAATGCTTGGCCCAGCCCTGACTCTGAGGTTCTACTTGATCGGGGGCCAGCTGCACAGCTCTGCACCTAGAAGATGAGGATGCTGGACTTCGCCTTGAAGGCTTTCTCCTGAACTTGCCATGAGACCCTATTGGCATGCCCATGCCCATTCCCTCACTTGGGTGAGAAATTATTTATTTATTTTGTGATGTTCCTCCTAGCACCTACATAGCATCCCCTCACGAATGTGTACGGACCCCTTTCCTGACAGTTGCAGGGAGGAAAACGGCAGGTCCAGGGATGGGGCGGGTGCAGTGGGTTCCTGGTAGTGGTGGAGCTAGGGTTTGTTCTTAGAGCACATCTGGCTCTGAGTAGCTTGACCAAGAGCAAAGCGTGGGGCTCTGTCTCTCGGCTGGTGTAGGGGACTGTCCAGGCTGGGGCATCGCTGCCTGCTCTTGCCCTGCCTCTGGTACCCTGTTCTCTTGTGGTCTGTGCCCAGGGCTGGCTGGCCCTCCCCTCCCCCACAGGTAGGAGGTGGGGCCTGGGCAGCTGAACTCTGTGTTGAAAAATCCTCTCCTGGCTCCACCTCCCTGGTTTCTCATAGCAACCAGGAGAGGAAGGCAGTGCAGGGATAAATAATCCCATTTTACAGGCCAAGGCTCGAAGGCAGGGTTGGGTGGGGGTTGGGATACAGCCTGCAGATTTCTGATCTCAAGGGACAACAAGGGAAGAAGAGAAGGGAGTGGTGTGTGTCTCCCGGGGTCAGAGAACCCAGGTTCTCAAGGCTGAGCCCTGATGGGCTGCTGTCTGACCTCAGGCGAGTCTTGGGTCTCTGAGACTCCGCTTCCTTGTCTGTAAATGGTAGGGGTGGGACTGTCTGTCTCGGTGGGCAATTATTCCTGGGTGAAAGAGCCATTACTAGAACCAGCAGATGGCGTGATGGTTACGTAGCTGGACTCACACATAGTCGACTATGGTTTGAGACCTAGACCCAGCAGCCAGCAGCTTAAAAATCTCATGCCGGGCGCGTGTGCGTGCGTGCCCACAGTCCCCAGAGGAGAATGGAAGAGAAGGGATTGTGGCATGGCTATCCCTCCTGGGGGCTGATTTCTCGCTTTCTGTCTCTTTGTCTCCCTCTGTCTCTCTGTCAAGTGCATGTGCCCTACAGTGAAAATCTCTCTCTATTATAAAAAGAAAGAAAGAAAGAGCCATTACAGAGGTGAACCATGGCGTGTCATGGAACCCTGTCCTCTGCTTTTCTCTCAGGAGAGGGGAAGAGAATGTCTTAAAGCCGTCCCCAAAGGCTCCTGGGGGTGGGCTGAGCAGGGGACCGCCTCCATGTGGTATCGGAGAGTGATGGAGGTGAAGGGACTGGGGCATGTGTTAAACTGTGCAAGGGGCAGGCCAGCTTTGTGTCCCAAAGGCCCAAACAATGCCTGTCTCCGTCCTTGGAAAGACCGGTGAGTGGGCTGAAAATGGACGGCATCACATCGGCCGCCGGAGGAGGTGAGCCTTCCTGGACAGGGCAAGGCGTCCCTGCCCCGTGATCCTGGGGATCCAGCAGAAAGAAGCCCAGGGGCGGAAGACAGGCTTTTCCTCTGGCATCGGAGGGAGTGTTTAAAGGGGTGTGTCCACACTTTTGCCTGTGCGGAGTCAACCAGGGGTCAAGGCGGGATTGTGGTGATGGTGGGTGAGGCTCAGCTTGGTGCTCAGCTGGGCTGAGGCTGGGCTCCGTGGGGGAGAAGCAGATGCTAAAACCATGTCCACAGCAGAGATGACTGGGGACGAGAGTCGGCGTATAGGGAACAGCCGCTGGGGCACGGAAAGCGAAATCAATAACCAGGATGTTTATCCGGACAAGCCCTTGTGGCGTCTATGGGTCCTGGTGGGAGGGACCTATGGCGATGAGGGGAGCGAGTGGGGGCTCAGCTGAGCCACGCGGCTCCCTTCTTAGCTTAGATGACTCCAACGGAAGCGAATTGAGCCGCAGCTTTTGTGTGTGTATGCGCACACGTGTATGTATGTGTGTGTGTGCATGTGTATGTGTGCTGAAGCTGCTCAGGGACAAGCTCATTGTTCCCAGAGTGAAGTGAGAGAGGGCGGTAGAGAACGTGGCGGAGAGGTGAGGGGGGCAGGGTGGAGAAGCTGGAGAGACGGGGTGCGGCAGAGGGACAGGGAGAGCCAGGAAGGCAGAGAAGGTAGGAGAGCAGAGGGACAGGGCACAGGATGGGGAGAGGGACACGCACGCACGCCTGCACACATGGCAGGAGAGACCTGGAGATAGTTGGTAGAGAGATAGTGGGGGCCTGACCGTGCTCCGTGAGACCCACCTGGGAAGATTCCGGGTTCAAGTCTGGAGACCTCTCTGAGGAGGTTTGGCAAACATGTGGCCATGATTCAGGCTGAGGTGGCTCACCGTGTAAAGGCCCTGCTGGGGGGTGCTGTCTCTCTGTCTCTGTCTCTCTTGCTCATGGGAGAAATAAATAATTTAGAAAATTAAATAATTCTAACTTACTTAAAATTTAAATGTCCTCGAGGAGAGACAGAACATCAAAGGTTCAGGGAAGACTTTCCCAGGGGTGAGGACGAAGAGCCACGAAGCAGGGTCCCAGGGGAAGGTAGGAAGGAAGAGAGGAAGGAAAGGAAAGGAAAGAAAGAGGAACTCTGGCCCGCCCGTGGTGGTGAAGGCAGCTGGATCCCACATGACCAACTGCGCGGCTCGAGTCCCTGGAAGTGGTGTGGGGGCTTAAGACACATTCCTGATGGGTGCGTGTGTGCCCAAGATCCTGGAAGAAAGGAGAAGTGGAAGAGAAGGGATTGTGGCGTGGCCATCCTCCTCGGGGCTGCCTTCTCCATTTCCCCTCCTCTCTGACTCTTTCCAGTGAGTGCACGAGCCCTCTGGCAAATTAAAATAAAAAAAAGAAAGAAAGAAAGTGGGACTGGAGGGACCAGCAGTTAGCGTAATGGCTATGTCGCTGGACTCCCACGTAGTCGACCGCGGTTCGCGTCCCGGACCCGGTGACTTAAACTCACGCCGGGCACGTGTGCGTGTGTGCCCAAGATCCCGAGAGGAGAATGGAGGAGAAGGGATTGCGGCATGGCCATCCCCCCAGGGAGATGATTTCTCGCTTTCTGTCTCTCTGTCTCTCTGTCTGTCTGGCGAGTGCACGCGCCCTATAGCAAAAACCTCTCCAAAAAATAAAAAGAGAGTGGGACTGGAGAGTGACAGAGGTCCGGAGGGAGGCAGACGCACTCAGAGAGAACGAGAGGCCAGAGAGGCCCGGTGAGAGGAAGAGGGAGATAGAAAGGGAGTGTGAACGAGGCCCTCCAGACAGAGGGACAGAGGCGGCTGAGTGCACCAGAGAGTCTGAGAGACAGAGACCAATAGAAGGGGATCCATCTGTGTGGACAGCGCCAGACGCAGTGTGAGAATCACAGCAACTGCATCAAAGATAAGAGGGGTCTTCCCCAAGTTTACGGAAAACGTGTGTTCTTTTTTTTGGGGGGGGGGCAGAGGTTTTTGCTATAGGGCGCGTGCACTCGCCAGACAGACAGATAGAGAGACAGAGAGACAGAAAGTGAGAAATCACCCCCCAGGGGGTTGACCATGCCACAATCCCTTCTCCTCTGTTCTCGGGATCTTGGGCACGCATGCACACATGCCCAGCGTGAGTTTGAGCCACCGGGTCTGGGACTCGAACCGCGGTCAACTATGTGGGAGTCCAGCGACATAGCCATTACGTCATCAGCCGGTCCCCATAAAATGTGTGTTCTGAAAAGCTATGCATGAATTTCAAAATTTTTGTACTAAAATAAGCTCATGCTTTAATCCCACTTTTCCATGAACTTTTAAAAGTCCCTTCCTGCTGCTGTCAGATCTGGGAATGGGGACTTGTATGTGTTTCTAGCCTCCCTCGTGACTGTTCCTAGCCCTTTTTTTGCTGGGACCTGTTGAGACCCAGTAGGGTACCATGACAGCGCTTCCTTACAATGACACACTCTCGAGGGTCTTGGAGCCGTCTGTCTGTAGACACTTTCAGTCATTGAAGTCTGCCTCCTGAGACCCGAGCTGCTGCTCCAGAGCCCTGCCGCTCATGCCTGTCTGTCTCCCCACAGAGGAGGTGGCCGAGGGGAAGAATGCCATCCTCATTGGGATGAGCCAGTGGAACTCCAATGACCTGGTGGAGCAGATCGAGACCATGGGGACACTGGATGAGCATCAGGGTGAGACTCTGCTTCTCGCGTGACCAGCGCGTTCATGGGGGTGTGACCGGGCGGGCTGTGGGGGCTGCCAAGTGGAACTGGGACTTGGGTCTTCTGGGAAGAGTCATCTGAGCACCTTCCTGTACGGCCTCCCCGAGTTCTGTGACCTGCAGGAACTCTCGTGGGGACCTCAGTGGAGATTTATTTATTTATTTTTAGATTTTTGATATAAGGGCGTGTATGCTCACCAAAGAGATAGAGAGATAGAAAGCGAGAAATCATCCCGCCCCCCAAGGGATGGCCATGCTGCAATCCCTTCTCCTCCATTTTCCTCTTGGGATTTTGTACATGCAGATACACATGCCTGGTGTGTTTCAAGCTGCCGGGTCTAGGACTCAAAATTGGTTGACCAGGTGGGAGTCCAATGCCTTAACCACTAGGCCACCTACTGGCCCTTTTTTTCCTTCTTTTTTTTTTTTTGTTGCCACAGGACACATGTGCTCACCAGAGAGAGAGAGAGAAAGAGGGAGAGAAGAGGGGAGAGAGAGAGAGAGAACCCCCTAATGAGGCATAGTCATGCCACCACCCTTTCCCCCTCATTTCTCGCTTCCATCATGATTTGGGGCACACACATGTGCTCAGTGTGTTTTTCAAGCTACCAGGGCTGGGATTTGAACTGTGGTTGGTCGTGTGGGATCTGGCTGTCAATACAGAGCACTTCATCTCTACACTCCAAGGATGGTTCTCTGTGGGATTTTTTTTTTTTTTAATATATAATCACAGAATAACTCCAGGTTCTCTGACAGAGTTTTCTTTGTCCATGGAAAAACGACCTTGGTAGCATGGGTGATTAAGAGCAGGTGGCTGGGTCCAAGCTCCTTCCACTGCTGGGCCTATGGGGTTGGGATCTGCTGGATGAGGGAGGGTGGCAACTGGAGGAGCCTTTGAGCAGGGCCAGGGGCTGAGGTCAGGGCCAGGACTTCCTCTCACTGGGCTGTGGGAGAAGCGACGTGACTGGGGATTACCCAGGAGCATTTTTAGGGAGGAGAGTTTTGACCCAGAGCTTGATCGGCAGACAAAGCAAGCTTTTCCTTTTGGACATCCAGCCACCTGTGTGACCGCTTCTCATTAGCACGTTTGCGGAGCACCTGCTGTGTGCACGCGCTCGGCGGGAGGGACCAAAGGGGGTTCTTCTGCGGCCTCTGTCTTGTGATGTGTGACACCGCGTAGGTCAAGACATGGGGGTCAGGCTTAAGCTGAGGGTCTTTGGCCTCTACCGGAGAGGTGGGATTTTTAGAAACAGGCAGGACAGGAGATCAAGGAAGGGCTCCTGACCGTGACATGATGGGCCAGGCTTTGAAAGGCAAGTGGAAGGTGGGGCTGAGGGGGTCATCACTTGGGCTGATGTGTGGGGCGACGGCGGCTCAGCGATCTTTAGCTGGGGGCTGTATTTGATTCATGGCATATTGGAGTGAGAAGCAGAGCCTGGGCTGGAATCCCATCAGGATGCAAGATGCTATGCTCTGTACCTAGTATCCTCGGACCAGTGTCTCTCAGCCCTCCTCCCGACCCCCCATATCACTCCTCCTAGTTTACTTCTCACTTCCCATCTCTTTCCTCTCTTGGTCCTGTCATCCCACAGTCACGGTCCGGCCACAGCTGCTGAGTGAGCAAGGTTTCCCTATCAGGAGGTGACCAGGGCTCATTCTCTTGGCTCTGCACATTCTCTTGAGAAGAAGCTTCTTGGTGGGGCCATCTTGGTGGGGCTGTCTTGGTGGGATTTGTCTTGGTAGTGGTCGGTTTTCTGTTTTTTCCTATAACTATTTATTTTATTTTTATTTATTTATTCATTGATTTTTTAATTTGACCAGAGAGAGACAGAGGGTGAGAGTGAAAGAGAGAGGAAGTGAGAAAGCAATCCACCAGGTCCAGGACTCGAACCCTGGTGGGCCATGTGGGAGTGCCCAGTGCCTTAACCACCATGCCACTTGCTGGTCCCAATAGTAGTGGTTGTTTTTCTCATCCCCTGCCCTTGTCTCCTTGATTTACACATCTTCATGTGCCAAAGCATTCATCTTCAGAAATACGTGGTCCAGGAGACTGTGACATTTTACAACAAAGCTTCTCCCAGGCTTGGAGAAGCTGAATCTTGCCCAGGGTCCTCTATGTTGGTGGAGGTGTCAGGTGGTGGGCCAGGTGGGAGTGCCCAGCGCCTTAACCACCATGCCACTTGCTGGTCCCAATAGTAGTGGTTGTTTTTCTCATCCCCTGCCCTTGTCTCCTTGATTTACACATCTTCATGTGCCAAAGCATTCATCTTCAGAAATACGTGGTCCAGGAGACTGTGACATTTTACAACAAAGCTTCTCCCAGGCTTGGAGAAGCTGAATCTTGCCCAGGGTCCTCTATGTTGGTGGAGGTGTCAGGCCTACCCTAGTCTCCTGAATCCTAGGCCAGGGCTTCTGCTCTCAGTTTGGACTAAGGCTTGGCCCGGTTCAGGGTTCCCATAGAGCAGACCCAGGAAACCCAGGTCCTAAAAGAAAGGCACCGTGGGTGGGCTCTGAGTCTGCTCCCTAAGGCCAGTCTAGAGATGCTCTCTCAGCCTTCCCAGCCACCTCTTTGCCAATGGGCCCTTTATTGCTCTTTCTTTCACCCCACATATCTCAGAAGGGGTGCAGACTTGATCATGGACCCCAGGTCCTGCCCACAGCGACACGTGGTAGCCATGAAAAGACAAACGCAGATCTGTGCTCCCCACCCATCTGGCTGTCCCTGCCCACCGCACCCCACCCCAACTTGTCTGCCCAAGAATGTATGACTCAGACACAGGGTGAGCTCAGGAAGGAGTGTGCAGAGGCAGTGGGAGCTGGAGGGGACGGGGTGGGCAGGGGATCGCAGGCGAGAAGCGAGAGGAGGCGACCCAGGGAAGAGCCAGGAACGGCAGCTCTGGAGTGCGAGAGGCCTGGGTTTGCATCTCCCTACCACTCCAGGTCTTTGTGGCCAGGGAGTCGGAGCCCTCTCTGGGCCTCAGTTTCTTCATCTGCAGAGTGGGGGACTAGTAAAAAACTGTGAAGATTAAATGCGCAGATACTTGCAGGTGCTTTCAGTAACAGGTCGTTGTGATGACGGCAGGAGAAGGGCGGCTGACAATGCCTGGTGCACGTGCAGCCATAATTAATGCTTCCTAGTGCTCCCGTGCCGTCCAATCAGGGCGGTGCTTGCCCAGTCTGAGAGCCGCTGTTTCCTCTGTGCTGAAAGGGGAGCAGGAAACGGAGGGGAGAGGGGCAGAGGAAGAGGAAACCAGCCCATTTCCAGCTCCTTCCCACTCCCACTCCCCCGTGGATTCATCATGTGAATTCCCACAACGCGGCAGAACACTCATTCATTTCATTCATTTTGACAGTCGTTCATGGAGCTGCTACAGTGGCCCAGCCACGTGTCAGATGTGGAGGAAATAAAGGCGAGCAGGATGGCACCGTCAGCCTGCAGGAGCTGGCCCAGGGTGGGGGATCTGTGCGGGGTATTGCGCAGTGAGACAGGCGAGGGCAGGGCTGGGAAGGGGCGGCTCTGCTGGGGGGTGTGTGGGAGAGAGGAAGTTCCGGGAACACTTTCTGCAAAAGGCTGTATTGGTGGTGTGGATAGAGAAGACCCTCCTGCCTCCAACTTCCCTGCCCTTAAACAGAGAGCTCGCTAGGACTAGCACATGGCCTAATGGTGACGCAGCTGGACTCCCACATGGCCAACAGCGGTTCAAGTTCCAGACGCACAGGCTTGAAGGTTGGAGTTTCAGACATAGCAACTTGAAACTCGCGTCCATCTGCATGCCTGCCCTAAATCCTGAGGGGACAACGGAGGAGAAGGGATTCTAGCGAGGCCACCCCTCTCCTGCCGGGAAGTGATTTCTTGCTTTCTCTCTGTCTCTCCAGAGAGTGCACACACCCTATAGCAAAAATCTCTCTAACACACGCACACACACACGCACACACACGCACACACGCACGGCTTGTTCCAGTGATTCTTTCTCATGGCCAGTTGCTCTTCTTCCAGGGGTGCCTTAGGGACCCTCAGGGATGACTCCCAAGTCTATCTCCAGTTAACACCTCTCTCCTGGGCTCAGATTTACTTTTTTTTTTTTTAAGAGAGATTTTTGCATGGGGCACATGCGCTCACAGGAAAGACAGAGAGAGACAAAGAGACAGAAAGTGAGAAATCACCCGCCGTGGGAATGGCCATGCCGCAATCCCTTCTCCTCCATTCTCCTTTTGGGATCTTGGGCACACATGCACACATGAGTTTGAAGCAGCTGGGGCCGGGACTCAATCCGCGGTTGATTCCATGGGAGTCAGCGACGTAACCATTACACCATCTGCTGGTCCCCAGGCTTACATTTTTGTAGCCGCTAATCTATTAACCTCTGCCTGGATATCTTGAAGACAACTCAGGTCACACAAGTTCCAAATGAAGGTGATCTTCTTCCTTCTAGTCCTGAATTAGGTCTTGGCCGCCGTCTTTCTTTCCTTCCCTATTTATACCATCTATTGCACTTTCAGACCACCCTCGTATCCGCAGCTCTTGAGGGTGCTAATTCTGGAGCGTGTGTGCTAACCGTACCTGGTAGATTTCATTCCTTCACTTTTCGTTGGGAACTTATCTTAGTCGCCTTCCCACACACCTTTTTCTGTAGGAATTTTATGTGCCACAGGTTGTGAAAATGTCCTTCTAGAAACTGGTCTTGTGTTTCTGCTAGGTCTGAGTGTTTCTCTAGTCTTGAACATTTTATGTGCTAAATTTACAGTTTAGGTTTTCCGTTCTACATGGATGGTGTAAATTTAGACCCTACACCCATAAATGGCACAGGCTTAAGGTTTTAATTGCTCATGTGTGACTTTTTTCTTTTCTCACTCTCTGAATGATTTCTTTGCTGCTTCCCCTAAGAGGTTTTCTTTTCTTTTTTTTTTTTTTTCCTTTTTAAGTTTCTATGGTTGGAATAAACTTCCAGGATCCTTAAGTGGATCCCTAAG